CTATGTACACATGAAGGTCTATCTGTGTACACATCAAACATAAAATATACATGATTCTGTATAATATGTACATGTGTAATTCTTGTAAGTGTAATCACACAGAGTAATGTCTCCAAGTCACAAGGGAGGTTCTCTACAGTATCAGTTGAGTGTGCTCTGCTCTGAGAAAACCTGACAGGCCTAAATTCAATTTTACAAAACATTTTACAGTAAGGGCTAATTATTCACAGTTTAAAAAGACACTTCAGGCCAAGTGCAGTGGCTCACGCCTGTAATCCTAGCACTTTGGGAGGCCGAGGCGGGCGGACTGCTCGAGGTCAGGAGTTCAAAACCAGCCTGAGCAAGAGTGAGACCCCGTCTCTACTATAAATAGAAAGAAATTAATTGGCTAACTAATATATATATGGAAAAACTAGCCAGGCATGGTGGTGCATGCCTGTAGTCCCAGCTACTGGGGAGGCTGAGGCAATAGGATTGCTTGAGCCCAGGAGTTTGAGGTTGCTGTGAGCTAGGCTGATGCCACAGCACTTACTCTAGCCTGGGCAACAAAGCGAGACTCTGTCTCAAAAAAAAAAAAAAAAAAAAAAAAAAAGACACTTCATCTTTTTTTTTTTTTTTTTGAGACAGAGTCTCACTCTGTTGTCCCAGCTACAGTGCCATGGTGTCAGCCTAGCTCATAGCAACCTCAAACTCCTGGATTCAAGTGATCTTTCTGCCTCAGCCTCCCTAGTACCTGGGACTACAGGCGCGTGCCACCATGCCCAGCTAATTCTTTTTGTATATATTTTAGTTGGCCAATTAATTTTCTTTCTATTTTTAGTAGAGAGTGGGGTCTCGCTCTTGCTCAGGCTGGTTTCGAACTCCTAACCTTGAGCGATCCACCCGCCTTGGCCTCCCAGAGTGCTAGGATTACAGGCATGAGCCACTGTGCTGGCCAAGACATTTCATCTTATTAAAGGATTTACTATAAGGACTCACTAAATTGCCTGTGCACTATTGCATTTAGAATAGGATTTCATTTGCAAAGACTTCACAGGCAACTGCATAAGTCAACTACATAAAGCCAATGAGCTATATCTGAACTGAATTTTGTTTTGGTTGTATAATGTGATATACAAAATAAAGTAATTTTATTATTTAATTTTATTACTTTAAAACTATTACTAGTTTTCTATGTGTGAGCAAGACAATGGTACCAAATGTCATGATGTCAGCTTAGGCAGGCATCTGATTCAGGGACATGCAAGGCATTTCCTAATAGGCTTTTGCTGTTCAATGGGGCGATCTTTCCTGTTACTACAAAAAAAAAAAAAAAAAAAAAGGAACAAGGTACCTACCTTTTCCACATAAAGTTTTTTAAGACTGAATAATAAGAATAATTGCAGGTAATACTTATATAGTACTTACTGTGTACCAGTAAATAAAACACTGTTCTACTGAACAATAATGTAGGATATAGTACTTACTATGTATCAGTAAGTAAAACATTGTTCTAAGTGTTTTACAGGTATTCCACTCATTTCATCCTCTCAGTGACTTCACGCACAGTTACTATTACCCTGCCTTACAGATGAGCAAATGGATGTACCTGCAGCCCAACGAGGCAGTAACTGGTAGAGCTATGAACACAGGCAGTCTGGGGCCAGAGGCCACACTCTTAAACTACCATATCATGCTGCCAACCTGATCTGGCAGTCACGTGCAGGATGGAGAGCAGTGCAGGGGAGAGGAGTGGAGATGAGGGCCTACTTAGACTACTAGCAACGAGTTCAGATACATGGTGCTGAGGACCTGACTATGCAGTGAAACAGAAAAAAAAAAAAAATGAAAGGATGCTGCTGCTGGAAGTCAGGATAGAGCAAGGCTAGTGACTAAAAGGAGATACAAGGGAGGTTTCTGGAGAACTAGTATGTTTTGCAATTTGGGTGCTAGTTACATGGATGTTATTTGATTTGTGAAAACTCATCACTCTGTATAGTTATATGTATACTTTTTACATACATATTTTTGTGAATAAAAAAATTAAAAGATGAAAAGGATGAATTTAAGATGATTTTGGTAATATTATGAATGGCATTTGCCCTCCTCTATTTTGCAGATATTCCAGAATGTCATTATTTTAAGCATCAGCAGTATGTCTAATACTGAGGGAGGCACCATGGAGCACTCCCCACAGCAATCATCTATGTGGATGATTCTCATACATCTCCTTGTCCAGCCTGAGATATCAGGCAGACGAGGTGTCAACTGAGTCACAGGCAACAAAGCATCATGGTTCACAGGTGCTATTAGCTGGGCCTGGTGGCTCATGCCTGTAATCCTAGCATTCTGGGAGGCTGAGGCGGAGGATTACTTGAGGTCAGAAGTTCAAGACCAGCCTGAGCAAGAGCGAGACCCCATCTCTACCAAAAATAGAAAAAATTAGCTAGTCAACTAAAAATAGAAACAAAAAATTAGTCAGGCATGTGGCGAGTGCCTCTAGTCCCAGCTACTTGAGACGCTGAGGCAGGAGGATCGCTTGAGCCCAGGAGTTTGAGGTTGCTGTGAGTTAGGCTGACATGACAGCACTCACTCTATCCTGGGCAACCAAGAGAGACTCTGTCTCAAAAAAAAAAAAAAAAAAAGAAGGAAAGTGCCATTAAGAGTTAAGAGCTGCACTGCCTGGGTTCAAATCCTGCCTTTGTTCCTACTAGATGTATGATCTTGAACATGCTACTTATTAACCTTTCTGCATTGTCTTGCTTTCTGCAACTGTAAAGCTGGTATAACAGTGCCTAACTCACAGGGCTTGTCTGCATATTAAATGAGCACTTATAGCCATACATGGCACACATGACATACTACTAAATGTTAGCTCTTATCCTGATCAAAATGTAGACCCATGGCCATGATCTATCTTAAATCATTACCATTTACTTTGATCATTTTCCTATTATTTAAATAATTTACTATTATTCCCTACCACATTCTAAAAGATTTTTTAAAGTATATTTGTTTTACCTATTATTTAAGTAGTATAAACATATTACAGAAAATATGGAAACAGAAAGTCAAGTGTTATGCTTTTAGGAGTGTAGTCACCCTGCCCGATTCTGAAGTGCCTACAGTGATCTGCAGGTACACACTACAGCAGTCACTTGAGAGCCACCATAAGAGGAGATATCAGTGCCAAAGGTAATGCAGTGCACATTAGTCAACATATACCCAAGAAATGGCCACAATTTTTATTTTATTTCGAAAATTTCTAATTCTCTAAAAAAGTTAAAAGAACAGTATACAGTATAATGAATATCCAAGTACCATTCACCTAGCTTCACAATTTGTTAACATTTTACCACATTTGCTTTCTCTTCTCTCTCCACACACAGACGCTTTATTTTTTTGCCAAATTATTTGACAATTAAGTTGCAGACATCATGTCATTTTATCCATAAATACTTCAGCCTTTGTCTCCTAAGAACAAGGACATTATCCTATATAACCATAATATCATAATCACACCTAAGGAATTTCACAACAGTACAATACTATTACCTAATACACAGTCTACATTCATATTTTTGCAACTGTCCTAAAAATTACCTTTTTTTAAATTCAGGATCCAAGCCAGATTACACAGTACATTTAAATTATCATGTTTCTTTTAATCTAGGACAGCCCCCCTCCCTACCCATTACTTTTTTATGTCTTTCACACCATTGACATTTTTGGAGAATCCAGGCAGTTGTCTTATAAAATGTCTCACAATCTGGATTTGACTGTTTGTTCATTATTCCGTTCCAGTTAAACATTTTTGGAAAAGTGCTACATAGTTGATGTTTCATACTTCACATTGTAACACATAATAATTTGTTACATTATTAGTGTTGCTACCTTAGATCATTTAGTTAAGGTGATGTCCACCCAAACTTTTCCACAGTTAAAGGTATTCTTTTTCTCTTCTTCATAAGTAAGTAATCTCAGGAGTGATTCTTGAGACTATCTTGTTCCCCAGCAACCCTTTTACCCTGTGGTTTCAGCAGCCACTGACAATCTTCATCTGAATCAATGATCACATTAGTAGTTACCAAATGGTCACCAGTGATGTTTACTGTGTGATGAAATGAACAAATCAAATCAAATCCTATTATTATCACTGACTTGTGCTATAATTTCAGAACCATTTCAGAACTAATTTCAAAAGTTCATCTGCTCCTACCCGATAGTGGTTTGTAACACTTGTTTTACATTTCTCTGATCTCTATCCACCTGAGCAGGTACACATATGAATGCACTGGCTTAAGCAGTACCCAGAGAGTAACCTCAAACTCCTGGGCTCAAGTGATCCTCCTGCCTCAGCTTCCCAAACAGCTAGGACTACAGCCACCATGCCTGGCTAATTTTAAATTTTTTTTGTAGAGATAGGGTCTTGTTATGTTGCCTAGGCTAGTCTCAAACTCTTGGGCTCAAGCAATTCTCCTGCCTCAGCCTCCTAAAGTGCTAGAATTATATGCAGGAGCCACTGCACCTGGCCATTAAATAATAATTCTGACTGTCAACATCCTGCCTGATTCCAGCTCCCCCTTCACCCCATAAAGGAAGAAATTTCTGGCAATTCTTTTTCTCATTCTTCCCCACCCTCTACTGTTAACCCAAGCCTCAGCCAAGATTAACATGTGTGCTTGTGGCCACAGAAATAGAGACAGCTAGGCCACTGGGAGCAGGGAGGAAGGACAGTGCTAATTACAGCAGACTACAGCAAGGGTGCAAAGCATCAGAACAATGGCAAGAATGCCTACTTGCTGCTGGAGAGCACAGTGACATATCTCTCCCTGCCGTGGCCCAGGTAGCTTTTCACCCAGGAAATACTAGGCAAAACAAGACACCATCATGGTACAACTGGGGTATAGAGCTTCCAGGAATGGTCACTCCACAGATATCAAAATATATCTGCAAGTTCTCAAAGCCAACCAAGATCATAGCAAAAGGACAGGCATACCAGTCAGCTCCTGGACTCCTACCTGACTGGAACACATATCGGGCCAAGCCCTGCATTAGCTCTGCTGGCCACGTTGGTGGGGCAGACTCCCCTGTTTCTCTCTTCAGACGAAATGTCAACTCAAAGCCAAAACCACTAGGTCCGTCTGTTCCTGTAAACCTGAAAGAAATAAAAAGCAAATGTTTTAAGTTCAATTACTCCCTTAAAAGTCAAAGTTCCCCCCTCTTTTTGGTGGCCTCAGCATGTAAACTCTCTATTTATAAGATGTGAGCCTTCAGAGGAGAAAGAACCTCAAAAACCTTTAAGGATCCAGAACTTGTGCCTGGCCCTCCTGCCAGCTACAGGTACATGTATATGACCCTGGCCTGGCCAAATCCCTCTGCTGGCACTCTAAATTATGAATTCCAAATTTTGGGGCTCTGGAACATTTCTTCCAGTATGACCAAGGCAACATTTCTGAAAATCTTCCTTGTTTATGCTGCTTATTCCTTCAACTATTCATAAGCACCTACTATGTTCGCTAAGAATACATATCCTTTGAGCCACCAACAAGGCTATTTGGTCTGGGAGGATGAGACCCTTTCACCACTCCGAACTCCACTATGCCCCGCAAGGGTATAACCTTTCTGAAACCCAGCACACAACATACACTCCTCAATCAGCACATGCTCTTCCTGAAACTTGGCACTCCACGTGCACTCTTCACTGGCTGGAACCCTAGAGAAGCACAGTTTGCCCTCCCTTCCCATCCCTCAGGGACCCAGAATGATGAGAATTACTGCTTCTGTGGCCACAGCTCATCAAAGTGTCAGTGAGATGAGGTAGGAACACCTGCCTCCCTATCTGCAGGTAATATCCAGGAGCCCCAAGTCTCTGGGAAGTCCCTGAAATAGACTTCTGCCAGAGAGGGCAACAATGTGGACCAGAGAGTTGGGCCTGGCTGGTGGGCGCCACAGCTCCTCAGGGAAGGAAGCATCCAGGGAGGGGTTCCTGAGAGCTACATGAGATTTGCCAGCATGGGAAGGGTTAAAAATTAAAATACATTCATGATATAATTTTCAGTAATTATATCTTATACAAACATGAACCACAATGATTATACACATGTAAATTCCATAGCAAACAAAGACAAATCATAAACTAAGATGATAGTCAAGACCTCCTTTGCTAGCCAAGCTCCTGGAACAGGAGATCAGAGGTGAAAAGGGCTGATGATGCAGTCAATGCCCAACCCTGGCATTCCACGTGGCATCATTCCTTCATCATTATCACCCCCAAGAGGCCAGGCTGCGAGACTGGATAGAAAGAGATTTCAAAGTCTCAGAAGCTGACGTCAGTCTTAGCTTTGTGCATCTGGGTGAACCCAGCCTTCCTGCACTTGGCAGGAGAAAATCACCTCTGAGAAACTAAGTTCTAGGCCGGGCGCGGTGGCTCACGCCTGTAATCCTAGCTCTTGGGAGGCCGAGGGCGGGCGCGATTGGGCTCCCAACGTCAGGAAAGTTGCCAAACCAGCCTGAGCAAAGACGAGACCCGCGTCTCTACTATAAATAGAAAGAAATTAATTGGCAACTGATATATATATAAAAATTAGCCGGGCATGGTGGCGCATGCCTGTAGTCCCAGCTACCCGGGAGGCTGAGGCAGAAGGACACTCGAGCCCAGGAGTTTGAGGTTGCTGTAGGCTAGGCTGACGCCCGCGCAGCTCACTCTAGCCTGGGCAAACAAAGCGAGACTCTGTCTCAAAAAAAAAAAAAAAAAAGAACTAAGTTCTATGGATTGAAAAGGAATCCTTACAAATTATCATGATCAAATCCAATTATATTTAAAGGAAGTATCCATGGTTTGCATTTTCCCTGGCTATCTAGCAAAGTGGGAAAGCAGAATCCATTTTGAGGGTACATATGTGGAATTCTGGAGGCCAGGCTAGAAGAAGATGCTAGAAAAGATACAACGTAAGCTATTTTATTTCCTTGCTGAACTGCCCTGAGTGGGGTCAATTCAGTGCAAGAAGGCTGAGGGAGGCCAGGCGCAGTGGCTCACGCCTGTAATCCTAGCTCTTTGGGAGGCCGAGGCGGGCGATTGCTCGAGTCAGGAGTTCAAAAACCAAGCCTGAGCAAGAGCAAGACCCGTCTCTACTATAAATAGAAAGAAATATTGGCAACTGATATATATATATGTAAATTGCGTAAAAATTACCGGATGGTGACATGCCTGTAGTCCAGCTACCTTGGAGGCTGAGGCAGGAGGATCGCTTGAGCCCAGGAGTTTGAGGTTGCTGTGAGCTAGGCTGACGCCACGGCACTCACTCTAGCCTGGACAACAAAGTGAGACTCAGTCTCAAAAAAAAAAAAAAAAAAAAGAAGGCTGAGGGAAACAGCTACTGAACTAACACGTGAAGGGCTGCCACCCTGGAGGGGCAGGTTTGGGCAAGGTGTGAAAACCTGGGTAATCGCAAGATTGAAGTTAGTTAAAACTCTGTAAAAGAGATGGGTCACTAGGCAAGGGAAGATTTCCACAGCCCAGCACCATTAGAAGCAGCTTTGTAAAATGTATTAGACCATTAACTCCAGGGCTTTCATCTTGGGCCAAGAAAATACATGATTTCTAACCGCAAAAACTTGAGAAACAGACTAAAAGAAACATGTTCCTCTTGGCTGCACAATGGGGAGAATGCTCAGATACGGAGATAAATCACTGGATCATACGCATCCATACAGCACCACCTCACTAAGGAAAGCTGTGTGCACACGCACATTAGGTGTGCATGTGTGCATACCACGTGTACACCATCTGCCTCCACACGGGTGGCTTCTGGCCAGCTCTGTGGTGGGCAAGCCAGCCTGGCTTGGCTGGTGGGATAGGTTGGCCAGATGGTCTCCACCTGCGTTTGATTACCACCCACGCTGGCTGGAGCCAACTCTAACATCTGCGAACATGAGTTTGGAATGGCCCAGCCTCAGGGTAAACACACAACCTAAAGCTGTTCAGAAGTCTCTTTCAAAGAAGGGCTGACCAGCGATAGCAAGTGACAAGATCATTCAGTCTTTAGTCTCCTGGAGGCGGCCTGGGCTTGGTCTGGCCTTGCTCACGTGAAGGCTTCTCTAGCCAAAGTGGTTTTGTCTAACCAGAGATTGAAGCCCCTCTAGGGACGCAGCTGTCTCACAACTTCCAAGAAGGGAAAGCAGGAGGAGAAATTGGCATGTGCTGCAGAAGGTGGGATCTGATCAGAGCAAAGAATTTTTCTAACATGGAAGTCTGCGAAATACTGGCTGGTAGTCAGTGGGGCAGTGGAAATTTGTTTCTGGAGGATTTACAAATATAATTTTCCTCAGTCTGATAGAGTGGGGGTGAAAGGGTTCTAACTGTCTTATTGTGAAGGATGGATGAGATGGCCTCTCAGATTGTTCCTGCTCAGGAACCTCTGGATCCTGCTCACTGGGGTGTCCAGGGGAGAGGTTGGCTTTTGTCCTAGCAGTTTGGTGAGCTTAGCCATGGCTTGCCAGCCTCAAGAGTAACACTGAACCTGCCAACAAGAACATGTGCTTTAAATCCTAGACACACAGCTGGCCACCATCAGAACCTGCCCAAAGGTCTCCCCGAAAACACCTCACTAAGAAGGTATCATCAGCATCCAAAGAGGCCAAAAATTACTGCTAAGTCTAGGCAGGAGATAAACAGAAACCCAGGAGAGACTTTCTGGAGGAAATATATAGCTGGGGACACAGAAAGAGCTGACATAAAAGTTGGCGTCTCAGGCTTAACACATTAGTTATTATTATCTAAGGAAATGGCAAATCAAGACCACAGTGAGATACCATTCTACACCCTCCATTATGGAAGAAAAAAAGACAGAAACAAGTGTTGGAGAGAATGTAATAAAATTAGAATACTCATACACTGTTGGTGGGAATAAAAATGGTGGAGCTGCTTTGGAAAACCGTTGGCCGCAGTTCTCAAAAAGTTAAAGGAGAGTAACCACATGACCTAGCAATTACACTCGCTAGGTATCACACCCAAAAGAACTGAAACATGTTCACCACAAAAACCTGTCAACCGATGCTGTCATAGCACCATTATCATAATAGCTAAAAAGTGAAATAACCAAAATGTCCATCAATTGAGGAATGGATAAACAAAATATGGTATACCCATATAATGAAATATTACATAGCAATAAAAGGGAATGAAGTACTGATACATGCTACAAAATGGATGACCCTAAAAACATGCTAAGTGAAGAAGCCGGATACAAAAGACTGCATATTATATGATTCCATTTATGTGAAATGTCCATAATAGAAACAAATCCACAAGGGACAGAAGTAGATGAGTGATTGCCAGGAATGGGGGTAAAGAGGGAATGGGAGTGACTGCTAATGGTACCAAATTTCTTTTGGGATGATGAAAAATGTTCTGGAATTAGATAGTGGTGATGGGTTGTAATACTTCGAGAATATACTAAAAAATCACCGAATCGTCACACTTTAAAAGGGTGAGTTCACC